ACCATTTTTCAGGAACAAAAGCCAAACTCTGAGCTCTCCTGCAGACCTCTGTGCCTCATGTTTGTGGATGAGTCTGACCACGAGACCCTGACGGCCATCTTGGGACCTGTGGTAGCGGAGCGGAAAGCCATGATGGAAAGTCGGCTTATTTTATCTGTTGGTGGTCTTCTACGATCCTTTAGGTTCTTCTTTCGGGGCACAGGTTATGATGAGAAGATGGTTCGTGAAATGGAAGGCTTAGAAGCATCAGGCTCCACTTATGTATGCACACTCTGCGACTCAACCCGAGCTGAAGCATCTCAGAACATGGTGCTACATTCCATCACACGTAGCCACGATGAAAATCTTGAGCGCTACGAGATCTGGAGGACAAATCCTTTCTCAGAGTCTGCTGATGAACTGCGTGACCGGGTCAAAGGTGTTTCCGCCAAGCCTTTCATGGAGACCCAGCCTACTCTAGATGCTCTGCACTGTGACATTGGCAATGCTACTGAATTCTACAAGATCTTTCAGGATGAGATTGGTGAAGTCTACCAGAAGAGCAATCCGAGTCGAGAGGAACGCCGTCGTTGGCGGTCAACCCTGGACAAACATCTAAGAAACAATCTGAAACTCAAGCCTGTGATGAGGATGAATGGAAACTATGCTCGTCGGCTGATGACACGTGAAGCTGTGGAGGTGGTCTGTGAGCTGGTTCCTTCCGAGGAACGGCGTGAGGCACTACAGAAATTGATAGACCTCTACCTCCAGATGAAGCCTGTGTGGCGTTCGAACTGTCCCTCCCGAGACTGCCCTGACCAACTCTGTCAGTACAGCTACAACTCTCAGCAATTTGCTGATCTCCTTTCCACCACGTTTAAGTACCGCTATGATGGAAAAATCACCAACTACCTCCACAAGACTCTGGCCCATGTTCCTGAGATTGTTGAGAGAGACGGGTCTATTGGAGCATGGGCCAGTGAAGGCAATGAGTCTGGGAACAAGCTGTTCAGACGTTTTCGGAAGATGAATGCAAGGCAGTCCAAAATGTTTGAACTTGAAGATATACTGAAACACCACTGGCTGTACACCTCCAAGTATCTTCAGAAGTTTATGGAGGCTCACAAGAATTCAGCAAAAGCAATGCAAGCCACATTCAACCCAGAAGAGACTCCGGATGAAGTTGATGTGGCTCTTGAAGTCCCAGATTTTTGAGCTTTTCTTTAATTGACTTTCTTTAATGAACCCTTTTTCTGGCTAATGAAAATATTGTTAAGTAATTGATTTTATTTCTTGAGATGAAATGTAATATCATGTGTAATGGCTTTGTTATCCACGTCATTATTTTTTTGAAGCCAGTGCATAAACGTGAGCTAAATTGTTTTATGGCAGAGATAAAATTGTATGGGCAGGGCTTTTTTCTCCCCAGCTTTTACAGGCAAATTGTCTGAGTTTTATCTCTTGCGGCTTGTGAATTATGAGGGATTTTATTGTATTGTCAGGTTGTGACACCTTCACAAATTCATACAGAATGGTTATTTATGAAAACGTATGAGGGAGTTGTAAGTCACTGAAATTGTGTTAAAGGAGCCCCACATTTACGATGGTTATATTAATATATCACACAGGATGAAGACAAAATGAAATTAGGAAATACAATTGTCTCCTTTGCAGGTCTAGAAAAAAAGGGGTTATTTTTAGCAATGCAGTATTTTGATGGTGCTCAACTGGTCCACAAATAACTATGAACACCCATAGACACTATGCTACAGCATTTGCACATTTACATAGACCCTACCCCATAATCTACCTCAGTCTTCAATCCTACAGGTCCCACAGGACATTTGCACCATGCCACTCACACAAACCCATTTTCAAATATTGAACCATGTCTTTTACACCATAGTACCTATTGACTATTGTCAGAATTTCTTTATTGGTATGTGTTACAGTTTAGAGATGTGTGCTCTATTCACTCAAACTTGTACCTCAATTTGTTAATCATGTTTCTCTTTTGTTTAAGAGTGCTAGATTTAAATAATTGTGCTTATTGTGCTCTCTTAAACTGAGAGGATTTCAGTAATCCACTTTATAAATGCATTTTATTTTATTTTTCAGTTGATTGATTTCTTTGTGAATTGATTTTACTGGTTTCTTTGTCTTGAATTTATTGATTTTTTTGCTTTCTTTGAAACATTATGTGACAATTTCAAATGCTGAATAGTATATAATATAATCTCTATATACTATATTTACTATATTACTATATAATCTCAAGTGACAATTTAAAGTGTCTATTTAAATTGCTTTATGTTCTTTTTTGTTTGAAATAAAACACTGCATTGCACAGTTCATAAATGTAAAAAAGAATTGTTTTGTAGACCACAAAGGCACTGGTAATGTTTTTGGCCCATCGTTATTTTTTTCTTTCATTGTGCGAGAGCATTACAGTGATTGTTGTAATTCATGAATTCATACGTTGTCTTCTTTAACAGATTGAATATAATTGTTTTGTAAGAAATTACATTTTTACTTTCCTTTTGGTAAAATAACAAAAAAAAATAAAAAAAATCCTAAAATCCAATGCAATTGAGAACTTTTTTGTCCTATTGTATTGTACGTAGTTGAAGACAAACAAAGTAGTTAAGACATCTGACATATGCATGAATGTTTAGGTATATGAATGTATGTATGTGTGTGTGTGTATAGTATAAAAACAGACATAAAATATAATCCATTTAAAGGATTTCTCTTTATTTAAGCAGAAAAACACACTCTACAAGCTTTCCCCCCACATTTTAAAGAAGCAATAAATCATCAGCTTAGCAATAACAAACAAGACTTGTAAAGAAATTATATTAGTTTCTAAAAATTGCACTAAGCATAGTCATTCAATTGACAATACATTTCAGTTGTTTCTATGAAAAACACACTTCTTAAATGTTCTGTTATAAAACACAATTAAAACACATTGTTATACAATTAACACAATTGAAACATTGCTATTGATATAAAACCAACAAAACAACAACAATTCAGTCAAAAAGTCTTCGCAGAAAGCTCTTCTTAGCTGGGGTAATTTTCATCGAAACTGGAGCCTTGCGATAGGTCATCTTCATTGGGACTCTCTTTACTGGCAACATCTGACGTGGTGGAGTCATCTCCTGCTTGGGCAGGCCTCCGTGATCCAAGCAGAAGTACTTGCTGTTGTCTTGAGAGAGGCAAAGCAAAAGGCTTTCGGGGAGCTCCATGCACTGGGCATGAACCCAATGTCCACCTTCACCTCTGGAGCAGAAGATCATGGCAGGTCTGGTGAGCTCAGTTGAGTAGTAGGGCTCCCAGGTGTTGGGGTCCACCTGGCAGGTAAGGCAGCACTTGATCCAATAGCCTGTCTGAGATTCATTCTCCTCGTCCTCCTCATTGTAGGTGTCACCCTCTCCATCGCTGCTATACTCCAGCTCATGAGGTTCTCGGCCAAAGTAGAGCTCCTCAGAGTCTTCCAAAGGTGCAGAGTCCTCAAAATCAGTGGACTCCTGGCTGCATCCCTGAGTTGATGCTTCTCCATCTTGTTCCTTCTGGAAGCTCACCCGGTAGAAATGGTAAGCATCTGGTGGGGCTGGGTTTCCTTCTGAGGGGATTGCAATCAAGGCACTTCCTTTGCATAGGCTGCCACCAAACCAAGTACGGCTGTGGGTTATCTCGCTGGTCCACTGCGGAGGTTCGCGAGGCTCCATGTGGACTCCGACATCATCTAGGCCAATGTATGTGCACTCCATGTGCTTTTGAGTCTCAGATTGGTAGCCGCCGAAAACTATGTACTCATGATAGCCAACGGGAGCAACTATGGCGCTGGTAATGGCGAGACCTTCATGAAGCACAGTACAGGTGAGGACAGGGCTTCCTAGGAGAAGCTCCACACGTAGACGGATCAAACGAGGTGGTCTGCAATCAGAGCTGAGGATGTGACCGCCCAGGAAGTAGACACAGTCCTCTCTTGCAAGAGCTACATGAAATGACTGGCCGTCCGTGAGCTCAGGGAGGGTGTGGGCCGTACAGCAACCAAACTCTAGGTCAATAAGAAAGATTTGTGGTGGACAGTCCACCACGCTGTTCCAGTTCTCCGTGGTCCTTTCGGTGGGGGGCATGTAGGACCTGCCGCCAAACAAAATGCAGGCGCTCTTCCCTCGGCCATGGATCACACTGAGGGTGTGGCCGTATCGAGCGCTTGGGACATCACCAACCAGCTCTTTTTCTTGACAACGCAATGTGACTTTGCGATTACATCCTCTGCTGTCTACACTCAACATGTAGAGACTCGAAGACAGCTCATTGTTGGGTGTTCGGCCACCATGAATGAGGTAACATTCAGGACTGCCATCATGAGGCTCAAAATGAGCTATTGCAGGACATCGGAGGGGAGGGAGATAACTTGAGTTGCTTGAAAATGAAATGGCACGCAGCTTAAGTTCTTCTTTTTTTATGCGTACACCAAATATCCCAGTTGGACATGAGCGTTTCGGCCAGCCCTTTTGACCAAAGAGGTAAACATCACCCTCCAGCTCTAATAAGGAGAAGCCTGGTTGCACAAGGCTAGCACAGTTCACAGCAGTCAGAGGCTGTAAGGACATCTTTTTGCAGAGAACTGTGTAAAATATAAATAAAAAAACAAACATTAATTTTTATTAATTTTAATAGCTGTAGAATCTAAACATTTTGTATTATTAATACTAAAAATATTACATAAGAAATTTCATATAAATTGCATAGCTCGAGAATGGATTAGGACTAGCATACTAGCATAATATTAAGAGTAGTATGGAAAGATATTTTTTTAAATCAAACTAAAAATAAATAGAAAAATAATTTAAAAACGCGGAACCAAATATCCCTTTCCCTGTTTCCCTGACAACACAGAAACTTTCCCATAGGAACAGGTTGTAGTTTTCCTCATTCCTGTTTCTCATAGAGAATCGCGTTAAGCTCGCAATAAAACGACTACATTACCCAGCATCCAGTGCGAAACGGGCGTTTCTCATTCTACATTAAAACGGTACCTCTGAGATGTTTTTATGAGCTCTGAACGCTATTATTCTCTTATTTTCTTCAAACAGTTATCAGCGTTTCTAATTTTTACATTTATTAGATTCGTTTGAATGTCTTTATATAGTCGAATTCGCAAGATAAATCTTACAACACTAGTGCTACACTACAAAAATAAAGATAAGAAGCTTTTAAATAACTATATATTTATAATAATTATTATAAAAATGGTAATTACCTAGGTGTTTATTTTCATTTTGCTCTATAAGGCACTAAATATCACATACATTTCTAAATATTTCATATATAGTCTTAGAATAATATTGATCCTAATAACATGTATATTTCTTACCTTCTGGTCAATGCACTCCGAAAACTGAGAGCTGTTTGGTGCTGCTAACTTTTATTTGAGTTATTAAAGCAAATGATTTAGTGACAATGGCAGAGGCTCAGTGTTTGTGAAGGTTGACTGGCTCATCTTGAGGTTAACTGCTTGTAACTGCTGCTAACAACAGGTGTCTGAGCACAACTCACACAAGTTTGAATGAAAACAAGCACAAACTCGGTGCATCATTGGTCTGTGTATTAATATGATCTTTATATTGGTGTTTTACAGCTGTTGATACAGATTAATCCAGAAAATCTCATAGATTTAGATAATTCGTGCAAAAAATGTTGGTCTTTCTTCTCAAATTAACACCACTTACACTCTATGTAATGTAGTTTGATTGGAATGTGTTATAATAATAATAATAATAATAATATAGCCTAATGAAAGCCTTTATTGTTCAAGTATGCATTGAATTGATTAAAAGTGACAGGAAATGCATTTATAATATTACAAAAGCTTTCTATTTCAAATAAATGTTGTTTGTTCAAACCAGTGTTGGAAATTAACGGGGGCTTGTGGCAAAAATACCACCGAAGTAATCAAAACTGCCGCACAAATTCAAGACAAAGGGGCAAAAATTGCCCCTGCATAATTAAACAATGTATTACGGCTGTCGCAAATAAAATCAAATGTGAAAATGAATTAAAAGTGTGAGTTCCTGGAATTATAGATTCGCTTACACTGCATCAGATTGCTTTTTACACACTGTATTTTTTTTTGGAGCGTTTAGCCTAATAACCAATCACACACCTTTCTGTTGAATTTAGGAATGCATTGGCCAATTAGAGGCGCGTAGATTAGTCAGCTCTGAAAACGCTTGTTGAGTTCGTGCGCTTGCGAATTCCCTCATCATAAACAACACAGTTCAGATACGATGTGATTATAATGGGAGTTTGATTGATTAAAGCACCTGGGTACTTTTAAGACATTAAAGACAACACAGATAGAATTAATAAGGTGATTATAAAAATTGCCCTTACGAATGTAAAAAATGCCCCTGGTTCAAACTTTTTATTAATCAAAGGATTCTGAAAAAAAAGTATCATGGTTTCCACAAAAATATTAAGGTGCATCAACACCGATAATAATGATAAGAAATGTTTCCTGAGCACCAAATCAGCATATTAGAATGATTTTTAAAGGATCATGTGGGCTCTGAAAAATAAGAAATAAATTACATTTTAAATAAATATAATTTTTTTTTATTGTAATAATGTTACAATATTACAGTAGATTTGACAGATTTAACAGTATTTTGATAAAGTAAATGCAGCCTATAGATCAGAATAAAAGACTTATAAAAATTATTTTATTTTCTATTTTTGTGACAAGTTGCGTTGCCCCGCCCACTGACGCTCCCTTATAACTCAATTAAACATCAAATATGTTAACTATAACTCAAATATAGCTAAGTTATAAGTCATGTATAACTCAAATAACTCAATTACATATCAAATATCTTTTAATTGTCTGTAAATGCATCATGTTGCACAGATTTTCTGCCTGATTTTAGGCCACCCCTTACCAAAAAGTAGTATACTTCAAGTTTATTTTAGTAAGTATACTTAAGTAAAGTTCAAGTATATTTTTAAGTATACTTTATGCAGTAAGTATACAAATATCAGTGTACTAGTAGTATACTTGTAAGTGTACTGTTTCAATATTCCTTGGGACTAAATTGGCCCACTTTCTAATATATAAAAGTATACTTTTAAGTATAACAGTAGTAAACTTTAAGTACACAACTAGTTTACAACAATATTTTTAGCTTGTACTGCAACTATACTAAAAGTGAACTTATAGGTATACTGATAGTTTACTAATTAAATACTTGTAGTAGCATTTTTAGTACACTTTGAAGTATAGTCTCAGTAAACTACTAGTTTAGTAGTTTTATACTGCAAGTATACTCGTAAGTTTTCTTTAAGTGAACTTTACATCATACTTTAAGTATACTACTATGTCCCTATTTAGGTATTAATTTGTATATATTTTGTTACATAAATATCTGAACATACAAAACATCAAAAGAACAGGGTATCTGCTTGTAAACAAAAACATTTTATTCTAGCTTCATGCATTCTTTTTTCAAACACTTGAATGTGGATAATTACAAAACAGATAACAAATCGTATATCAAATAAAGTTGAAATAAAATGTAAAAAAATATTAGATGAAAAACTGAAACTGAAACTTTTGCGAACAACTGAAAATAAGTGAGTTAAAGTACATGAATGTTTCACAAGAATGTTTCATAAATAAAAAATAAAGAAATAAACAACATTTTGAACAAAAAGCTGAAAAAAGACTATGAATTGGATTCAGAATGATAATCAAAACGTAGATAACGTCGATCAACACCCCAAAGCTTGACAGTCATTATTACATCTTCATTGGTCGACATTTTATTCCATAATGTTACATAGTTTTGATACTGGTTTATATCTGATGATCTTGTTAGAATACATGTGGAAGCATCTGTTGTTTCGGTTTCTTCACTTGTGTTTTTTGGAAATTCTGTACAGAAGATGTGTACTAGCGCCCCCTACAGTATAACAATGAAAACACGGATTCTAGGAGCACAATTATAGCTAAAATATATTTAGACTTTTTCTAAGTATAAGTCAAGTATACTTAAATGTAATTTTAAGTATATTTCTGAGAAGTACATAAAGCCCATTTCTGAGAAGTACATAAAAAGTAGACTAAAAGTATACTTTCCTATTTTTAGTTTAAAAGAAGTATACTAATAGCACACTTGAATAAACTTCTTTTTCGTAAGGGACGGTGCAATCCCAAAAGGTGTTTTTTTTATGACCTGCATTTGACACCATAATCACACTCTTCATAATGCATCAGTGATAGTGTAGCACCTCTCTATGTAATGTGCTGTTAAAATAGTCTCCTCCGTGTATCTGAATGGTCTGTTGCTTTGGGTTCGGTGAGGAGCGGAATGATTCACTCTCATTACACCGAATACCGAATGCGTGAGTCACACATCAAATTTTGGCAGGATGGGTAGCTCGGATTTGTAAAAATACTCCTTATTTCCCGCAGGCTTATATTTACATTAACTGTTTCTGCTTGGCGGCTCTTTAAAGGAACGGGAGAAATTAAGCGACTGTTGTTGAAAGAAAGAAAGAAAGAAAGAAAGAGAAAGGGAGAAGAAGGGAACAGCTGTGCCTGCCTAATTAGCATAATGTTTTTGTGTTTCGGGGGGCTGTGCGCAAGTGCTCGAGCCATCCTGCAGTTGTGTGTTTGTTTTGGAGGCCGAGAGATGTGTGTGTGAGAGAGCAAAACAAAGACACGTAACCACGAGTGCCTGGAAGAACAGTGAAAAACACAAACAGCGGAGCACCTGTGTCTGAAGAGCAGGGCCGTGAAGAGGAGGCTCAGCGACTCCCCTGAGGCGCAACACAAAATAAAGAATTCCTCTGGTGTCTCCAAGCGCACTGGAGAGCTTTATTCTCCCGCTCAAGCGCACTTACATGCCGGTGTTCACACTTACAGGCGTTGTAAAATAAACCTGTCGAGTCCTGCATACGGCAGTGGCAAATTAATGCAGATGTTCGCCAGGTCTGTCACAATGAAACAGATGGGAGGAAATGAAGAAGGAGACTGAAACGCAACAAACAACAACAAAAACTTCAGTGCTCGCATTGTAATGAACCTTACTTTTCAACGCGGAATTAGGTCTAAGCTGTTTTCTTTGAATGTGCGGGACTTTCGATTCATTAGCCGCTGTAGGGAAATAACGAGAAGAATAACAAAGTGCACTAGCTAAATGGTAAAACTGTTTGCGCAACAAACCAGTGTGTTTATAATTAAGACAATACATTAAAATAATATGGTAGGAGACACTAGTTTGCAATATCACGTAGTTTTGTACAATGTCTACTACAGCTGAAAATAGAGGAAGCGGATGACACTGGAAGCCAGACAAATTTACAAATGACTGTGCACGATTTTATGGGAAAAATAAGGTGGATGGTGTATGGGCTAGTGTCTGATTCATTTTAACTTATCAATTCGTTCAGAACGCAAACATAACACAACCGTCAATTTCTGCCGATGTCACACAGGCCATGCTGTCTATAACCAAATAACTATACTTGGGCACTGTTTTAGCAAATTCACGTTCAGTTTATGCCTTTTTTTGTTGTTGATTGAATAGCCTGTGATATACATTACCTATGAAAGTTAAACAAGTTGCAAATGCCCTTTCATGCTGACTTAATAAAGTTCACCAACCATTAACAGATTTTTTTTATATATTTTTTTTATATATATTTATTAATTTACAAACATAACTTAAAATCGAACAAGACAAAAAATAAATAAAAATAATTTGTGGCTCACCACTCCATTAAATCAATTTGAGAATGAAATGAAATAATGACATAATCGTACCAACAATATGCCTTACATATTTGTACTCCAATATGTCTCACATATTTAAACCTCATTAAACAAACCCTCTAATGAGAATAGAGGATATATCTAAGCTCATATATATAAAAAATGGGTCTCACCTTCTATGAAATATGGCATCCTTACTATAAGAAGCACAGGTTAAGTAATCTAGTGATACGTATTCCAGTATAACCCTGTGCCATAGTGCCCTAGAAGGGGCTTTATCCATTAACCAGTTCAAAAGAATACATTTTCTTGCACAGAATGTTAGGAACTTTAGGAAGTTAGGAAGTGTCTTTTTATGTTTGTCTACAATAATGTCATCATATATTCCAAGCAACATATGTTTTGGACCACAGCCAATATTAATAGATAAAATAACATTAAGTTCTTTTTCAACCATAGCCCAAAACTTCTGAATCTCCCTACAAAACCAGAAACAGTGAATAAGATCTCCTTCCTCTGTTTTACATTTCAGGCACATTGGCGAGCAGTCATCCTTGAACTTGTGCCTCCGTGAAGGAGAGATATGTGCTCTGTGCAAAATTTTCAACTGCATTGCTTTTACTTTATTACATATGCTTAGGGTCCCTGCATTCTTCCATGCTTCCTCCCATTGATCGTCTGTGATTTGTATATCAAGTGTCCTTTCCCATGTCCTTTTCAGGGAGTCCGTATTTGAAGAGCCACAATCCTTGAGGACCTTATAAAAAGAACTTGTAGAACTGTTAATTTGTGAAAAAAGCTGTCTCTCCACAGCCGAAATGTCCTGGTTTGTGAGCAAAGTAGTGTCCTTTTTCACAAAGTCCCTTAATTGTAAATAACAAAAAAAATCCTGTCGTGGAATATTATACTTGATGACTAATTGGTCAAATGACATTAAAACGTCCCCATCAAATAAATCATGCAGAGTGGTGAGACCTTTATGTGCCCAAACTCGAAAATTTGGGTCTACAGTCCCTGGCAGGAAGTCGTAGTTATCACAAATAGGAGTAAAAGTTGCAAAGGAGTATTCGGCAAAAACTGCTGCATGGTCAGATATAGATATATTCCCTATATGGCAAGACATTATATGCTCCAACATACTTTTCGGAGAAAAAAAATAATCTATCCTAGTATAGCAACTGTGGACCCTAGAAAAAAAAGTATACTCTTGTTCTGACCATTAACAGATTTGAGTCATCCCTCAAAAGTCTTCCCAGAAGTCCCCGTGCAGCATTTTGAATAAAAAAAATAAAATAAAAAAATGTGATTTCAGTGTCTCATCCAACTAACAATTTTATTCCAGAATACAATTTATTCCTGAATACAATAGTTTTTGCAGTCTGCCAGGACTTTGTGAAGCGATTCTTTTTGTTCATATTCAAAAGAATTATTCATTCACATATCAGACAGACATCACTAGTTGCACCACTAGTGTTGTAGAGATATGTCTGGAATAGAATACTAGAGTACTGCATAGTGTGCAGAAAATTCCTTTTTTTTGTATTATATGCCATTGCAGTATTTATTAATGTTTTTTGAGTTAGCCTTTTCATTTTTTTTAAGTTTTAGTAACTTGATGTGCTTTTGTAATTTTTTTCTATCTAGCTTCAATTTATATTTATTTTAGATTTAGTACTTCATGTACTTTAGTTTAAGTTTCAGTTTTTCATCTAATATTTTTTACAATTTTATTTAAACTTTATTTGATATACGATTTGTTATCTGTTTTGTAATTAGTTTTAGTTAACAATAACAACACTTGTATCTACTCTATTATACTTTAAAAATAGTATGTGAAACAGTATGCATGCAGTGATGCACATTTTTACCTTTGGCAGTTAACATTATAAGTATAGAAAATTTCATATAAAATTAAGCTGATATTATTTTCAGTTCATTTGTCACACTAGAAATGAAAGGTCAAGTCAAGCATAATATACTGCACTTTAGGGCAAATCTGGGTGTTTCGTACGGTAACACTTTATTTCGATAGTCCACTTTAGACATTCTATTAACAGTAGAAAATGTGCATACTGTACCCAGTCTATATACTGAATACAGCAGAAATAGTAGTATGGTAGTATTAAGAGAGAAGGAAGAGGTGGGCCAGCAGTACAGCTGAGGCCTGAAGCCACGCAAGGATTTGTGCTGTATTATTGATAGAGGAGAGTAATTAAACTCTAGTGTAGCACCTGTTTCTGTCCCCGCTAATGTTGTGCCACCTGAAGACCGCTCTCCCTAGGGCGTGTTCATGATGAATGACACAGCGACAGCTCAGAGTTTCTGACGATCATCACGCCATTCTTCAATACATTTTAATGTCACGGGCAATCACTGCCCGCCCCCCTTCCCAGCCGTCACTGATTGTAATTAAGCTGAACTTCTAAATGATAATTTCATTCCAATCAGGGCTAATGCAGCTATAATGCATATCGCCGGTGATAAGTGACCTGTAAAAAAGTGCAGCCTAGCAGTAGCCCTTCATCATTTTTTTTTTTTAGGTTTTTTATACCAGTACTTCATCTCTGGTTATCTTCAAGATTTGCATGGTGTACGCAAACATCTCTTTTAATCAAAATTTCCTTTGTGAAGGCGGTAAAGCCCAAAGTATACTTCGTTTTTGTACGGGTACGCTAGCTAACACATACAGTCAAATACATAGCCTTTCAAAGCATACTATTTTGTTGTTGTTATTCAGTCTTTTTTGTTTCATTTTGTACTATGAAAGAATGGCCGGAGCCAGTGTTGCCACCTTGTGGAACAACTGATTAGTACAAAACAAATTCAGTGCGCATATGCGACCTGCACATACAAAGTAGGCGAGGTTACAAAAATTGGGTGGTGTGTGTACAGTATGCTCATATTATTCTGGTGACGAAATTTGTGTCGCGCACTGTACGTGGACCCTCGCATACACGTAAAAACCGAAGTATACTTTGGGCTTTATAGTGTAATGTTCATTGTGCCAGGCACATCTCTCACTCTGTTTTTTTCTGTATCTCTTTTTTTCTGAACGTGAATAGGTTTGACAGGATGCCAGGTTTAGCTGATGGTTCAGTTGTGGACGACCATGACCAAGCCATAACTGAAGCTCTGGAGCAGTCCACCTTTACGTACCTGACCCCAGGTGAGCGTACTGAATGCCACATACATCTTCTTTGCTCGGATACATCCGTGAATCCTTCACATGTGGTCTTTACTGTCGTATCCCATTGCAGAGGGTGATGTGAGGGATCCACAATTGACTGCTCCTAGAGGACATGGAGACCCATTCCAGAGAGAGATGGACAGCAGCCGAGAGCGACAAAGAGAGGATGAAGTGACAGAGATGGAGGAGAGCGTATACAGAAGGATGGGACAGACAAATCGTTGCTCACCGACTGCTGATCAGGAAGAGGTCAGCACCTTATAGATCTGAACAGCTCGAACCAACAGTCTTTACTGGGAGAGATTCAGGCAGACCTCTCCTTCACTCGCCTTCAATCAAAGTTAAAGTCGTCTGCATTAGCCATTGCTCTGTTTATCACACGCACACACACACACACAGCTCCTTCTTATGTGTAATTGTTTCTTTTTTCTGTCTGTCTTTTTCGTCTTGCCTTTTTAGTGCTGTTTCCTAAGGCTAACATCACTATTGCTTACACTCAGGATTAGGGCAGGGCACCATTTGTGAAAATATAAAAAAAATCTCATAGACTTACATAAACTCAAGATATATGAAGGGACCAGGATATTATGGAGATTTGGTCCAGTAGGTAACTACTGAAGAATGTCCTAGCAACCACATAGAAATGGGCTAAAATTCACTCAGAATTTGTTAGCAACCATATATAAACTCTGAAATCCAGATATATATAAACCTATATAAACCTTTGCACCCTAGCATCATGGTGGCAGCTTTTGTACTGGTAAGCACCACTCACATTTTCTTCAGAATGCAACTACCTAGCAATGAACTAGCAACCACATATTAACTGTAGCCACACAGAAATGTTAAAATTCACTAAAAACCTCTTAGTAACCATATAATGATGATTTGATGATTTTTGTATGGTTAAGTGCCACTCTTTTCTACGATTTGTGTTATGGTGAGTGCACTCATATTTTCTTCTGAATGCAACTACTAAGCAACCACATAACAATATTATTATAACCACATTGCAATATATTGTGTTACTCCCTAAAAACTAACTGCGTTACTAACTGCATAAAAACTAACTAATTGTGTTACTTACATTTATAGAAAGTAATGCATTATGTTGCTTTTACGTTACTTTTTCTCATCTGGGATGGGCTTACTTGCTTGTGCAAAAAAAAAAAAAAAAATTATTGCTTATTAGTATGGTTGAATTGGATAATTGAAGGTCAGCAGCAAAGACATTGGTTAATAAAATGGGATTAAATACATAAAGGATATTTGAGTTATTTAACGTATTTAATTATTGCAGTTTGCATCATATTCTGAGTTTGCATTTGAATGTTTTTATTCATTTTGAGGAATTCTGAATCTTTTATACAAGTGAGATGAGTAAATGTATGTTCACATTTAGTCTAGAACAACAGTTAACCATCATGTTCATACAGCACACACCTCTGCACTTACTCCTGATTTCTCTCAACATGGGGACAGGAGAGCTGTCAATAGGTAAAAACAAAGTTATTGGTGTTACTTAGAAAAAGTAACTCAGATATTTTCTTGTAAATTAAAAAGTAATGCACTACTTTACTAGTTACTAGAAAAAAGTAATCTGATTATGTAACTTGTAATGCTTGTTACCCCCAACATTGCTTGCAACCGCATATAAACGTGTTAAATTTCACTCAGAACTTCTTAGAAACCTTAAAGCAACACTCTGGCAGCCTCCCACAACAGCCTAGCTTTGTGCTTGTGACTTTTTTTTATATGAAAGCACCATTTTCTTCAGAATGCATACAGTTGCAACACACTGAAAATGACTTGGAACCCCTTAGCAACCAACTTAGCATCGTAGTGGTGTCTTTAGTATGAGCAAGCACCACCCAAAATACTAAAAATATTCCCCATTTTTCTTTATTTTCTGTCTTTTTGATGTATTTCTTTAAGACTTTTGAAATTCTCCTCTCAGCATATTGGACGGCTTCATTGCGATGTGTGTCGGTCTGTGTGTGTGTCTGTGTGAACGGTGCTTAAGACTCTCGCCTGGCTTGTGTATTGATCTCAGTGGGGCTCTGGCGAGCCACAGCACCGGTTACTGTCAATAACGCAAAGCACATCAGCTAACATCCCAAGCCAGTCAATGCTAAAAAAAGCCTCTGCATTATGTAGCTCCCTGCTACCAGGCGAGAAAACAGCTGTATTGATTATAATGATGTTAATCAGACCGATTCACATGGCTGCTGTCATTTCAGTGCATCATTAAATGAAATGAGATGGTGAGTTTATGAGTGTTTGTGTTTGTCTGTTTGTATAGGTGATGTTGGATGGCGGTTGTGTTGGAGGAAGACTGAGCGGCCCATCAAGCTCTGCTCCAGACAGACCTGTGAAGGTAAATGGCTCATCTGAGATGCCTAAAAATGTATCTAAGATGCCTATGAACATGCTTTTATTTCATTCTGAACCAAACAAAGACAATGTTACTTAATATTTGTGTTTATAAGCTCACATAGATTTAACTCCACACCGCTAAATAAAACAGGCTGGGTGCAGATTAATATTTCTGAAATAAATATTTCTGTGAAACACGTTTTGATGCAGAGAAGAAAACTCAATCTAGAACCTGCCCTGTACAGTTTTAGATTATTTTGTTGAACAGAACAGAGGAACAACTGATGACGTCACAGGTTCAGATTTGGTTGACCAATCGGTGGAAAGGGGCGTCCCATGACCATCCACATGTGGAAAACAAATTTTGAAGTAGTTTATCCATTTTCTACCCTTGAACAAAAAAAAGAAACAAAGAAACAAACAAAAAACAAAAACAAAGAAAAATCGAGCCTAAATCTTGTTTTTTCGTTTGTTCTAAAAATCGAAAAAAAAAAATTTCACGGGTAGAAAACGGATAAACGACTTCACAATTTGTTTTCCAAAATAAAGGCGCTGTTTTGCCATTTCTGCTTATTTAATTTCAAATTGAAAAACAAACTATCAAAACGTACACAGACCTAAAACATTTTACATTTACTTAACTTTGGACTATTGCTATAAAAAACACAATTGTCCCTTACACCATGTCCACACCGGACGCGAGAGGTGCAGCGCGATGGGACAAAATACAATAGAACCCATTATAATCAGTGATGCTGTCTACACTGTATGCGGCACGGCGCAAAACGACAAATCCCCGACAGTAAACTGCTGCCTCATTCTATCTATAACGTACTATCACAAAATTCAAATGATTTGCAACGGTCGCTTTGTCGCGTCCAATGTAGACAGACTTTAGCTGTTGCAGCGCGGCGTGACAACTGTCGTATCCGGTGTAGACACGGTGTTATTTTTCTTTTCTGAAGTTGCCAAGCCTAGCCACACCCTTGTTGAAAAAAAAACCCGTATATAATTCATACTCTACATGGTTGAATACAGTGCATAAGTACATAGTGTATAAGTGCATAGTGTATAGTGCGTCATTTGGGACGCAGCTATTAAACTCTTTTGGAATAAATTGAATCGAGATTTCAACCTAATAAAAAAGGACTATTTGCTATATTTTTCTGTGCTTTGCATTTGTAAGCTAACTAGAGTGTGCTAAGTTAACATTAAACTGTTGGAATCACTTGAGTCAGGATAAGCTAACATTAACATTTGGTGTGTCCCAAATTGCGTACTTATGCACTATTCTATGATATTTTGTAGTATAAATAGTGCGAGTAGTGTGTTCACACTGAAAATTCCAAAAAGAAAAAGTGCACTTTAAATACCGGATGATGCACTTAAATAACCGAAAAAAATGAAGTCTGGAATGTTGGACACTTCATGCACTCAATTGTCATAGCTGTAAAGGGTTAGTTCACCCAAAAATGAAAATTCTGTCATTAATTACTCACCCACGTGTTGTTCGAAAGCCGTAAGACCTTCGTTCAAAACTCTTTTGGAATAAATTGAATCGAGATTTCAACCTAATAAAAAAGGACTATTTGCTATATTTTTCTGTGCTTTGCATTTGTAAGCTAACTAGAGTGTGCTAAGTTAACATTAAACTGTTGGAATCACTTGAGTCAGGATTTCAATCTAATGAAAACTGTTTTACGTGATATTTATCTGTGCATTTTTAAGATCACTAGAGTATGCTAAACTAGAAACATGCTAATATAAACGGTTGTTATCGCTCAGCATCAAATGTTAAATGTAAAAAAATGGACTATGTTACCTAATATTTGTATGCTACAGAGTTATTAGAGTGCTGTTAGCTTAGCAAAATGCTAACATCAAACTCTTTTGTATAAATCAGTTGTGAATGAAGTTTTTGTGTGAAGAACAATGCTTCAGAGGAGCACAAAGTTGCTAATACTAATTCATTGTAATTCTAAATAACTGTTCATGCAAATTAATATTTCATTGTCCTTTTGTCTTTTTTATAACACACATACTGGTAAAAAATGTATAGCCTGAATGCACTGTAAGTCGCTTTGGATAAAAGCATCTGCTAAATGCATAAATTATTATTTATTATTATTTGGTAGTTTGATAATTATCTGGGAGATTCGAAAGATGAAGAGGAAAATGCTGACACTACAGGTATTTATTTCTCTAAAACATGACAAATTCAAACACATGACACTTTACACAGAGTCAGATTATGTAGATGTAGGCCTAGAAGCATATTTGGGGTCTCTATTTAAATTTTTACAAATTCTTTTCTCATGTAAAGCACATCGTTGAGAATTCTTGTCATCATTTTCATATTTGACAACAGCTTCAAATGGAATTGGATCTATCACAAATTCATATAAAATTCACATAATACACATTGACATATTGGCATCACCTGTATGGATGCATTTTAAAATGGGAATAGCGAGGCATGCTGGCATAAATATTCTTTTCATGTGCATATGTAAGAATTGCATGGGCTCACCTTGCCTTTAATAGGGTTTAGTTGATATCATGTGCATGCTATTTTTTGTAATTAGAGCTGTCATACAGCTTGATTTAAATATATTACCATTTATTACACATATTCAATGCATGCAAATTCCAAACCGCTCCCTCGTCATTAGAGCCGGGGGCAAGCGCTCGCTTGGCGAGGCTTAACGCTTGCTGTGCAGGCTTGTAATGAGTCACTCTTTTCTGCAGTGCCAGAGAGGCTCATTTAAACTCCAATGACCAGTTTAATACAAAAATAAATAAAATAGTTGGAGGAAAGAAAGCCTCTTTTGATTGGAGAGGCTTACTGTTCAGAGCAGGGCTTCCGTGTTTTTCGATTGTGTTTCTCTGTGATCAGAGTGTTAATTCAGAGGAAAGGGTGTATGTAAAAGTCATTAGGTGGTGTGTTTATAATGGCAGTCATATCCACTGAATAACAACAAGGTGCATGCTGAACTTGAAGTTAATTAGCATGAATAATCATGCCTCTGCCTGTTGGGGATGGTAAAAATATCCTTTGCTGGAAGACAGCAGGTCGCTGTACCATTGGTTGTTGTTGGCATTCTTGTCCTAATGTTGTAGGTGTTTGGTGTCATAACTTTTGAAAATCTAACAGTAAAATAAGCTTAAGATGTGTAAGAATTGCTTTATTTAATTAAAAAAAAATTTTGAATAAAAACTGAATAAAATTATGGCAAAACAAAAACACAAAAAGAGTAAAAAAATTGCTTTTTTTTTCTTCGAAAAGTGAAAATCAGGAACTGCCATAAAAAAATAAAATAAAATAATAATAAATAAATAAATTAATGAATTAATTGTCCACTAAACTTTAAACAAAAACTACATATAATTAGAGAAATGTATTTCAGTTTTATAATTTCAAATAATTCTGTATGGTCTGCTTGAGTTATTCTCTCAAACCTGATTATTGGTGCATTCTGTCAAAAAAAAAAAAAGAACCACTTATTTAGGAGGAGTCCATGAAGTACATGTAAAACAACCAATCACAGTTAGCTTTTTTTATGTCACCTTAAGTAAATATAAAATCGATGACAGACTACATTGTCATTAATGTGAATGTCTTTTGAGTGAATCAGTTATTCAATCAACTGAATCAATTTGTTCAGAAATGCTGCTTCATTCGGGAAGAAGACAAATGGCTGTCTTAATTAATGAATCACTGAATCAGATTCATTCAAAAACTAAAAACATTGATTCATTGAGGACTAACACACCACAGTGTTTAGAGACACGCAACTGAAACAGTACGTTAGAAGAGATGAAACGTAAAACTATACTGACACTAAATAAAAACTATTTTATTCTATTAAAAAATTTTAAACTATTTATGCACAGTTAAAAGTAACTAAATACTAGAATTTTTCAAAACGCCCCTCAACTCAGTCTAAGATGTTAGCATTAACAATCGCCTTTACTTGAGGGTTCAGTGACACACTGGCGTTCAGCATTCCACATGAATCTTAAAATGGGTCGAGGGTAAGCCGGTTCTGGTCAAAGCAGATCAAGGCTCAAGAAGAGCTACCAGGTGTCTATGGTTTTAATGAAACATGCCTCAGCGCACCGGTCAGGGAGGTTCACGGCACGGCATTACAGCAACAGCCTTTAGATTCATTAGCGGCGTGAAGCTTCTTCTTGTGTTTCTTTAGTGAGCTGGTTAATGGTCTTGTTTTTGAGACCATGAAGGCCTTGGGTGTGTGGGGATTCTTCACTCACACACACATATGGTGTTTGTATACACTCAAACAAACACGCAGAAATGCACGCTACACCCTCAGATGCCTGGTTCTCACCCAGCAGCTGAGACTATGACTTTCACTGTGCCAGTAATCAGCTGTTTAATTAAGATCAGCATCAGTTGAGCTCTTGCCAGGCCTGATGTCTTTCTCTCAGACACATATGGCGCTTTTCCACTGCGTGGTACGACTCGGCTCGGCACGGTTTGCGTTTCCACTGCAGTTCAGTACCGCTTTAGAGTGGGCGGGATTATTCACATGTCATTATAGTTGCACCGCCTCTACTACCACGACTCCTAAAAAAAACGTTTTCATTCCGCGTCGCCCTATCAAGCTCTCGCTGGATCCGCTCCTCTGCTATCAACGAGAGGAACGTCTGTTCTTCCGCAACAGACAACAAAACTTTTTGGTTGTTAAAAAAAGGTGCGCTCGCTTGGAACCCCAACCGAGGTGATACTAAAAAAAGGACCAGGTACCAGGTACTGTACCCAGTGGAAAACCCCCCAAAAGTGAACCGTGCCGAGCCGTACCGTGCCGTACCATGCAGTGGAAAAGCACCAATAGACTACTGCAAAATCCACCGAGATACAGAACGTAAACAGATTATTAGCAGACCAATCCTTCCTTTATGATATGAAGTGTAAGTTCACTCAAAATGTACTTACTGCAAAATCCACCGAGATACAGGACGTAAACAGATTATTAGCAGACCAATCCTTCCTTTATGATATGAAGTGTAAGTTCACTCAAAATGTACTTATTCTGATGTAGTTTCAAACTCATGACACTTTATTTTTTATGTAGAACGCAAAAAATGTTTTGCTGAATGCCCGAGTTGCTCTTTTCTAGAAGGCTCTAAGCTTCCAAATCTAATTTAGGCTTCTGTTCAAATATATAGAACATATGAACTCCTTCCAATCAGTCACAAGATGTGTGAAGCAATGTTTTGACATAATTTGTGTCACATCTGCCGCGACATGTCTTGATGCCTTTTTTGAATTTGCATAAGCACAAAAAAAAAAAATTGCAGAAAAAAACTGACATTTGTTTGTGTATAAGTAAACTTTTATACTACACATGACAAACGTTTTTTTTTTCTAGTGTGCACATAAAAGTTTACATCTGCAAAAGAAATTATGCTTAAAAAGTTTATGAGATTTACAGTGTTAATTGCTAAAAAATATCCTTGTCAAAATTATATAAAAATATTGCTCACCTATGCTGAGACTTTCGCTTGCTCACAAGAAACTGAAAATGAGAACGTTTTTGTGCATACACAAAAGTCTCAGGGTTTATGTATTTATTTTCGCAAATTTGATTTGCACATTTTTTCACTTTATGACTTTTCACTTAAAAAAAATAACTAGAATTTTCTTTTTCTCACAAAAAAAGAAAAAACAAAAACACAAAAGGAAAAAATAGCTTTAAAATTATACATTTATTTATTTGTATTTATTATTATTAGTATTATTATTATTTTATTTAATTTTTTATTTTTTGAAAAGTAAAACAAAAGTGAAAACTCTAGAAAAACTCTAAATTGTCCACCACACTTTGAACAAAAACTACATATAATTACATAGAAATGTATTTCATTTTCATAATTTCAATTAAATATGGATGGTCTGGTTTATCTCCCAAATCTTTGCCTATGCTGAGACTTTTGCTTGCTCACAAAAAACAGCTAACATGTTTCTTGTGCATACACAAAAGTCTCAGTGTTTATTTATTTTTGCCAATTTAACCTTTTTCCACTTTATGATTTGTAGCCAAAAAATAACTCGAATTTTCTAATTCTCACAAAAAAATATTGAATGGCTTCAGAAGACAGAATATTGTCTATGAGTAATATTTTTTGTTTTTATTGGAGCTTGACAAACATCCACTTTCATGATATAGTAACCAGCAACACAGACATTCTTCGAAATATCTTCTTTTGTGTATCACGGGAAGAAAGAAAGAGTTTCGAACAACAAGAGGGTGAGTCAATAATGACAGTATTATATATATATTTAATAGGGACAATGCTCATTTAATCAACAGTCAGGTACTGTAAATAAGCCAGAGTTAGCCACATAGACTAATTTTCATTTGTTGCCCCTTGACAGATTGAAAGACAGAAACCTGAAAATTATCACAAATAACAATCATAATTATTCACAGTTAATAAAATGCATCAATACACTAAAACCAAACAATTGAAACATATCCATGACTAACTAATTGTACAGAGAAAACATGAACAGATTTAAACATACATCAAAACCGTATAATACCAAATCAACTGATGAATACATAAACAGCACCGAAAATAATAATGAGAGTGTCAGAGATAAGATGATTTATTTACACATTCACTGTAAAAGAAGAAACAGTTTGTAAATGAATGCTGATGGACTCTTTTGCGCAGAGGATGCTGGTTATTCATGTGTGTCGTCTTGTGTTGTCAGGCACATGTACACTGCCAGGTGAGATTGAAGAAGATCTGATAGCTGTCTCCTCTTCATCGCACTGTCACCACACGCTGCTGGAGACCTCCTCTACTTTCACAGACCAGAGGACACACACTCCCTGTGCAGCTGAGAATCAGATACACACACACACACACACACACACACACACGCACGCACACCCCAATGTGTCTCTCTGAGAGCAGTCAAGCTTGGGAAGTATCTCAGGGAGATGAGATGAGATGGACTTTTCTGTTGCATTTCACAGAGACTGTGTAAAATCCTTCATTAAACCTTTTTTTATCATTATTATTATTCTAGGATGAAAGCGAGGAGGTCGTTCTTTTCCATCTGGATGAGAACTTTGATTATGATAATGTTGTGCTGTCTCGCAAATACGCCATCCAGGAACATAATGGCAGACCATCTTGAGCTGTAAATGAATGTAACTCTGGCAAATGCCTTTAAAAACTCAGATTTTACGGAGTAAAGTCCTTGTTAACATAATAGAAATGTTTTTATTTCGCCAAAGAAATAGAAGGAAGACAGACTGGCTGTTTTGAGTGTTAATTCTGCAGTTTGTAGAATCTGTACTACTTAGTGTCTGTGGTTCTCAAAGACATGATCAAATTTAATACACTCAGTCAAATTAAAATTTTACTGACAATTAGATTAGATGACCAGTACCATGCTAGAAACTAGAAAATAGACATGAAACGGTGTCCACAACCCATTTTCTTCCACAAACTGACTTCTGAAAGAAGACAAAATTGCTTTGAAGTAAAAGAAAATAGTCAATCTTAATTTTATTTCGACTGTAAAAGTACTTTAATTTGCATAAGCTAAACAAATGTTGCATGTTTGTCTTGTAGTCCAAATCAAATGTCATTATGATTATTATTGTTGTTATTATTTTACGACGCTTTCATTTTCTGACTCAACAGCTCAAATAGGTGACCTGTGGCGTAACTCTTTTTCTGATGTACTTGGAAAAGTAATTAATTGCTCATTTTGTCTTACTGTGTTTTATTCACTGGAACAAAATGTTCAGGGACGTTTTATTCTGTTCTACGTAAAAACCTCATAACCTGAATAAAAGGCCAAAACATGTTGGTCTTTGAAAAGAATCTGTCCCCCTTTTTCTTGACATGGTCGTTTATTTTGACATTTCAGAGAAAGTCCGTACGTACTGTAAAATAATTTTCTAGCTGTTTCCCAGCATATGTTTCTTCATATTTTCTCCAGCCCTACCTTCATTTCCCACTTTTTTTGTCCTTTTTCTTTGTACTCTGTGACCCAGAGTTTCCAATGCAACACAAATAGTACTCTTCAACACTTTACTGTTCGTTTACCTGTACTTAAACATCATAAGATAAATGTTCTTTTCCCAAACTTTGTGAGCTGCCTGTGGAGTGAGTGTTTTAATCAGAATCACAATCAGAATCAGAATCAGAGCTTTATTGCCAAGTGTGTTTACACACACAAGAAATTCATCTTGGTGTCAGGAGCTTCCAGTACAGAAAGTACAAACATAGTGCAGACATACATATAATTTAAGGTAATTAAAAAACCCCACTAATAATAAAGAGAAAGACAATAAATTATAAATAACAATGCAGTAATAAAATATAGAGAAAAAGAAGATGTCAACAGACAGAAATGTGAATGTGCATATGTGCTATTTACAGATGAAAGTTTTGATGAGTTACTTACAGATATACAGTCCTTTTAAAGCATTTACATGTTTTTGCCTCCTTTGTACTTTATATATTTAAAAGTATATTTATGACCATTAGTAAAGTCTTAAGAAATATATACTGATCATGGACAATTTAAAAAAATAATAAATGTTTATAATTTTCATTAATATTTGATTTATTATTATTATTATTATTATGTTTTTGTAAATATATTTAAATTATATTTGTATATAAAATATATTTTTATTTATTTAAAATGCCTCATAGGCACTTTTGAAGTGCAGCCTCTCTAAAATTATTATTATTATTATTGTTATTATTATTATTATTATTTATTTATTTTTTAAGATAGAAAAGTTAGGCTGTGATATTGGCTAATATTTGGCAAATATTTTTCAATAGTCTAAAATGTTATCTGTGAGTTGCTGCCTATGTAGAGCTTTAAAATCATGCATGTGTCAAATCATTCCGTGACTGTTAGGATTTTCCATCAGAAGGCACTGTTTATGTAGTTAGCTGACATTGAGGCAGCTCGCTAGGTTTTAGAATAGAGCTAAAGTGTCCTTATTTAAAGTGTCCTCTGTTTCTGCGGCCATGCATTTTTAATGTCTGCTTCTGCCACGGTGAGTATTTAGTGGACATAGGGGATGAATCGAGCCTCAAGAGACCTTTTCAGTGCACTTTGAAGAGCTTAACTGTTTTTTAAAGTTAACATGATTGTCAATTTATAGCCGACAGAGACGCTTTTTTAAGTTGTCATGGAATGCTTATCATTTTTGCAATTTATGGACTAAATAAAAAAAAATAGCAGCACTGAACAGCATGAGCGTGAGTAAATAATGAGAATATATGGACGAACTTTCCCTTTTAAAGACTACAAACGCTCAGTTTCTACTTCGGTCCTGAACAATATGTAACCAAATAAATGTTTTATACACTGGAAAAATAAGTGTTTATTGCGCACTTTGTTTTATTCTCCATCCCTTGATTTGCAAAATCAGCTTAAAGCATTTTCTGTGACTTGGCCTCCTTGTTGCTAAGCAATAGCAGAGCAGTGAAAATAAGCATTTGGAAGATCACAGACCACTGCGACGGCAGCACTTTATCTTGGCTCAAACCAAGCCTGCAGCTCTGCATCTGTTCACGATTCGTTTCAGTTGCACTCAGACCTCGTCCAAAAAGATTTCTGATGTGTGTGTGTGAGACTTTTTCCAGGCAGGGTTCGAGTGGCCTACCAGGTGGGTGCTCCTGTTTGCCAGGTGGGGTTCCCACTGTCACAACCTCAACTCTTTCAGTTAGAGAAACCAGAGAGATAGCAGACGCGATAAAGAGGGCAACCCCGATCCCTCCCCCGCAATATGAGACAGGTGTGTGAGAACCAGAAAAAAAAGGGTTTTGTGGGGCACCAACAGTCTCTTCCAGGTGATAAAAGTAAGAAAGCGGTTAAGAAGATGTTTCTTCAAACTGTTGCTGTGCTGCAGGCTGCCTGCCAGATTCATGGGGCTTTTTGAAGGCCTGTTCTACATCCTCAAAAATTCAAAGCTCAATCATATCTCTAATAGATCATTAATAGTTTTGATTATCCATTAATTAAATTAAGGATTTATCAAGGACACGCTCATCCACACATAATAAGGAATTGAGGTGAATGAAAAAAGTAACTTGTCTTTAGCCAATGCTAGTCGTGAAGATTGAACAATGGCTGAGTTTTATATATTTGGGGATTGTAATAATTGTGATTTTCTTTTACACTTAAAAAAAATCAAGAATATTCACTGAGAAATTGCTAGTAAATGTCAAGTAACATTGAATATATATATTCAATAGAATATATATATTCAATGTGCATATATATACTTTTTTTATCTAGAACAAATGCAAATTTAGGCTATATTATTATTGGTTAAGATCAGTTTACATAAGCCGGACAAAAAAATGTTGTGCTGCAGGAAGAAACAATGATTGTCATGATTATGATTTTTTCCCTATATATATATATTTAGAACATGCATTGATGAATCATGCAAGAACAGGAATCAGGGACATTTCTTAATATAGTAAATAGGCCAATTTTATTTTCACATTGTCTTTTAAAGCAATTTCTTTTTAACACGGATGAGAAGAATTAAGTGTGACATTACCTACCATGACCCCCGAGCGATTGATTTTCCCGAATCATTGAGCATATGCTAATTTACTAGCTTGTCCGGTCAGTATCACAACCAGCATCCAGTTGCTTTAATTGAACATGTCAATCATTTCTAAATGCTTGAGCAAATTGGACCCAGCGAGCCTTTCCGCACTCTGCATTTTCTTTGTTTTTAACTTTTATTTCTGAGTGCCTGTGTTCTCCCCCTGATTAAAGCTGTCGTTCAGCATCCTCTTGAGTGTTCTTGGCAGCAGTATGTGTTTTTTGAGTGAGACATATTCTTTCAGCGTTTCTCTCCTGAGGGTGTCACTGTTGTGTTGCTAGTTGGTCTCAAGAATGTTCTTGTCTGTCTTCCAGGAGCATCATCTGCAGTGTTGAGCCCAGCCAAGTAAACCACAACACACATTGCATACATAAATCTGCATAAAGAGAACATATATACTGACTTTCTACACTTAAAATGACCCGTCATTTTTAATGAAACCATTTTTCATTAAATTTAAATGGAAAACAACTGCATTAGCAGTCATTTTAATTAGTTTTCTTGAGTTACAGGTGCTTTCCAAGGTCTACGCTGTACAAAAATATTGCAAATATTATAAATAATAAGTTTTACAGGAGGTTTTCTTTTTCAAAATTTAATTTAATTCAGTGTGTCACTTGCCATTTCTTAGTAACTCTTTGTGAAATTTATTAGCAATTTCTGAGTGAAAATTGTTTCCAAACCAGATTTTTTTTCAGAGTACAGTACCTACAATATACACCTAATTTTCAATTTGAAAGTAAGCTATTTCCTGTGAATGTACAAGACTTCATATTCATTAGCTGTTAAATAACTAAAAGAATAACAAAGTGCAGTAAACGGTAAAAACTATTTGTGCTACAAATCAGGGTATTAATGATTACTGTAATCAATTAAAATAATATGATAACAAATACTGGTTTGCACTATTAAGCACCATAACAGACTGTTTTATACAGCTAAAATAACTGGAAGCAGCTTACACTTCATTCAAGTTAAAAATGGCTGCACCCGCTCTTACATTAAAAATAAAGTGGATAATAGCTAGAGAAAGCTAACCATTAGCATTCCCATTCATCTCAATGGAAGTTGCAAAATACATGATTTAAAACTCTGACATTTGGCAAATCTGATACCTTAACCTTGTGTTTTCAGTATATATAATCATATGAGCAATCTCTGCTTCAGGTAGATGCTAACTAGGAAAAACATGCTGCATTTCTGAGTGAGGTGATTACTATAGATATGTGTGAGGGAATTGTTTTTCATGTCACTAAGTATATTGTTCTTTGACCACATAAAAGCTAAATGCCATTTGATTGGCTATCAAAGGTCAGTCTTTTTATTTTTCAGTGTTTGGCGCCAGAAGTTGTGCATGATGTTCCATTGACAATGAACCGGTTATCGTGTAGCATGTAAAAAATCCTTAACTGTAAACTGAAAACTACTGTAAAATGAAGCTTTTCTGGTCTTAGTTTTGCTAAGCTGTTGAAAATCAACCATCCTGGGCTAATCAGGTCAGTACAGAAGGCTTTAAAATTTGTGCCGCCCAACAAATCCA